TATATCTGTAAACGAACTTCCTTGTATTTCTCGTACCTGTAATTTTAGTATAACCTATAGTAAGTATATTAAATAAATTAAATGTGTAATTTACCTTAATATATAAATATATTGCACACATTAAAATTTGGTCGAGATGCCTATCTTTCATTAGTTCTGTTTTTTGCGTAATTGAGTATTCAAACAATGTCCATATTTTTTTTAGGCATAATTCATTATCTCTTCTTAGATCCATAACTAATTCCTTAATTCTAATCCAGGCTAATTTATAAAACTAAAACAAATATTTAGTGGACATTGCTACATATCTAAAGCAATTTAAACTTACTTTTCTTAAAAACAAAGGCAAAGACCCTGAACGTTTCATTCCATCGGGTATCCTTTTAGTATTGTCATTGGGTTTATCATACGGTAGGGAATCTACAAATGTTACAAGTATAACAAATTAAAAAAAGAAGTAATAATAAATACGTACCTATTGTTACATTAAATAGATCCCGTTTTGCAGAATCTGTAATAGCTGTTGGCATAAATGTTTCACACGCAGAATTCATAGGAGATTGGACTATTGAAAAATATTTTAATATAAATTATATTTTACAAACTCAATAAAAATTTACTTTGTGATTCTTGCCGTAATGATATATTACTTATATCAACTTCAGACCATGATGGAAGTGGAGAAGATATACTTTCTATTAGATTCCATATAGGAGAAGAGTTTTTCCAGACTAGTGACTCAAGACATGCTTCTTCAACAAAGTTTAGGTGCTTTATAAGTGCTCTATTTAAAATATCTTCATGACGTGCAACAACAATTTCAATGATTTTGTAGTATTGATAAGCATCAATCCCGAAACAGTCAAGCACCCATGGAAACTTTAATTGGGAATTATAGGCATCTAACACAATCTCAACGGAGCACGCAATTAATGTTGCATTAAATATATCATTAATTAATAATATTTTAATATCTATAGGCTTGGTTCTGATTTCGACGCGAATAATTTTCTCTAACAAATAATAATAAAGCGATGTAGCTAACTGAAACCTGTTTAAACCTTCTGCTTGATGTGGTAAATATTTACAAAATTGTTGTGACATAAGATTGAGTTTATCCCCGATTTTTTGCAATATAACCGGACCGGCTTGTCTAATTAATTCAGAAATGTTTTTTTTTTTAGATAAATGTGTAGCTGTTATGTAAATGAGTAACATAGAATTGGAGTTCATAAGTGAATTCCACTTACTTTATAAAATCAGTTGGTTCGGATATATGAGCAATACCTTGTAATTTGTTCACATTATGAGTGGCATTTGCTACAGGTTCCAAATTTGTCTCCTTATTGGGCAATAAGCTTTTCCTTGTGTATGGTGTGTCAGGTATCAATGACTTTATCTCCTATAAAACTTTTATCAAGTGTGCACAATTTATTTACATAAGTCTTACCTGATGTTCAACTCTTTCTTCTCCACTATACTCTAAAATTGAAATTTTTTTAAAAAAAGGAATTCAAATTTAAATAAACAATTACAAACCTGCGCTGACAACACGGCGATATTTTGGATTATTGATTATTATTCTCTCGTCGAATTCGCCAACACTCAAAATATATTGCTCATAAGTACTATTTAAACATTTTAAATTACGTTCGAAGTTAGAATTTGAAACAATACCTAGAAATGTCTCTTCATTTCCACTTATAGTCTAATAGGAATATATATACAAGTGTAAATTAGAAACATATTTTGAGACATGACTATAATAATTAGCATTACATTTGTTTGAAAAAACCTTCTGATAATTATTTTCCAAGAATTATTTTTCATAAATTTTACTTCACTTGGTTTAGTCTCAATTAACCGACTTAAATGATTTATAATACAATGGTTATGAACTAAATTTCGATCAAAACTGTCAGTACCCCAATCTTCTGGTATTCCACTAAAACTGGGATTAATAAGGTCTGTACGGTTTTCTGCTAATACATTAATATATAATAGGTCTATACAACAAAGAAGAAGATGAAAAGATGTAATAAGATCCACAGTATAACTAGGATTTTCATTTTTCGCGCATAAATATAAACACCATCCTATGTCATATAATTTGTTTGATGAACATTTGGTAGCAGACCTAAAAATTGTAATTAACAAATCAAATTATTGACTGGTTTTTATTTATAAGCACATAAATTTCTCAGATTTCTGACAACAAACCTGTATTTAGTGTTTTTTCTTTCATATGGCGGATATTGAAAAAGTTGATCAAATGCTTTATTATAGTAGTGGAAGAGATGAAATGTTATGCTAGATGTTCGTTCTAATCTTTCAATTTGATGAAAAAAGTTTTCTGATAGATTCGCCATTTCGTGCCAATTTTTAATTTTTGAAATAAAGTCATATATGCTGTAATAAAACAAAGTTTTCAAATATGAAAATTAAGCATTAGGACCTCTTCACCTCATATTACAAGAACGAAGAACTTTGTTCAAAGATACACAGTTTCCAACTACAATTGTATTGTTTTCGCCAACTGTGGGTGTATATGATGCTCTACAGGCTGCATACAATGCACAACAAAACCAATGTACTGGATCTCCCTAAGTATTTCAACAAAATAAAAAAAAATTAAATTGGTTACATTATAAAATATAAAAATATATACTTCTAATGATGTTCGTTGTGATACATCCGAAAATTTGTTCCAAGCGCTCTCTTCAGTTTCTTTATCCATATTAAGCTCACGACACAACTCCTCATATTTTGTCTTGATGTCGCCATCAATAATGACTATCTTTTCTTTTTCCATAATCAAGTACAAGTGCAACAGAATGTATCAATTCTTTGTTTTTGAATATTTTATTTCGACACTATAAACCCTTTTCCTTTATTCTTTTGAATATGTATTACTGAAATTTTCAACATGCACACATTTAATACTAAGTTATACCAAATATTAAAAGACAAACGTCAAAAAAAAGGCGCGAAGTATTGTAAATTGTATGTCAGTGCTATGGTTTGATGTTGGGTACATACAGAGGTAATCTGACTTTTTCAAAACAGTGTGTGCATGTATAAAATATTTTTTGAATTCATTAATGAAAACACGATCAGCCCTAATTAAAACTGTATAGTAACATGTGTGCATGAAACTAGCTCCAACGATAAGTCCCAAATGGAATTGGAAAATTTTTCCGCCATATAAAAACCTAAATAATTTTCTATGTGTAATTATGTTTCATCTGTAAATGAAATAATTTTCATAAAATATCACTAACAAAGCAAGTCCAATAAGGCCTATTTACTAATTTATTGAGAATTTTTGCACTATAAAAAATTTTTTAGGCGCTATAACTCATTGTGAAAACTAATTATCGTTTTCATTTCATTTGATGTTTATATAATTATACACTAACGAATTTAATTAATGGCACAGCTAGCATGTTGAACTTTAAGGGACCTGTATGATTGCAGTTACGTCGGAGAATTGTTATTGCTTTTTAATACAAAATAAAAATGTTAATGTCAATTGACATCTAGACAGCAAATTGAAAGTTAAAAGAAATAATAAATTAAAAGTAATCTGGGAATGTAGGAAATTTTGAAATTTTTAACAAAATTAATAATAGTTTCGAATAAGTATTCAAGCCTTAATAAGTATATAACTTGTAAGTTAGGAACTAAAAAGTTAAAAATTTAAATGCTTTTTAAATATACATTCTTCATGCACTCCTACGTGTTTTTGTATTAATATATATTTTTACATATTACACAAGTAGGAGCTGCCAAATACACCTAATAATTAATCTGGGAGTAATAATAGAAATAATAAGTATATGTGTAACACATACTTATCATTTGGTATTAAGGTAATATACTAGGGTCACAATAGATCTTTTACAATCCTTTTGATTTGAAACAACGTTTGAAGCAACGTTTTTGAAGTTGCTGAAGCTTTTACATAAATTTTAAGCTTTTTCAATGTTATTTCTATATTCATCTAGACAAAATGTAATGTTTGTTACGTATCCAGATTGATTGTTGATACGTAAGCCCACTATTTTCGCGGGCATTGGTTAGTTCTTAACTACACTCCACACTACTTGGATATTACATAAAAAGAAATTGTACCCAAAAAAAAAAATTTTAAAAATTCAAAAAAAAAAAAAACAAAAGGAAAGCAAAAAAAAGTAATTAAAAGAAAATAAAGCAAAAAAAAAGAAACATCATTGTTGGGTAACAATACAAAGTAACATAAAATATATAATGTTCATAAATAACGAAAGTTTTTGTATTATTGGCAACCCTGTTGCACAATGTAAGTTTTTAATAAAAACGATCAGTCTTGATCAAACTCGAATTAAAAAACAACGTGTTTTTTTGTCGTCTCTTTTTCGGTTTTAGTTTTACTAAGAAAAATTCTTCTTGGTAAATTTTTTGGCGCCCAACGTGGGGCACGATAGATACTTGACAAAGCATAATTTAGACATTTGAAAGTGATATATTTAATATATATTAGATATATAATATATGTTGTATATTTAATAATAAAAACTAGAACAGTCTCATTTTCGGGCCGTCGTCGCCGTTTTGTTGCTTTGTAGCTGCCGTTCGTTTTACGTTTCTTGTATCATTTTTAGGCCGTCGTCGCCGTTTTGTTGCATTGTTACTGCCGTTTGTTCTACGGTTCTTGTGCTCCATATAATTATAATATAATTAAATTAAATCTCGTGTTTAATTCAAGGCCATCGTCGCCGACTCGCTTTATAGTTTATTGCCGTTTGTTTTACGGTTCTTTGCAGTTAGTCTTTCGCTGCTTGCTGCATTTGTTTGGAGTTCTTATACTGTTGCTGCTACTGCGATCATCGTCAATTTTCAGTGCTGTCGCTGCATGCAGAATTTACGTCGACTCTATTGCTGTTGCTGTTTATCATTTACTTAACGAGTTGTTGCTGTATTTGGTGCATTTATTTTGTACATTATATTTTTACATCACAATGGCAGAAAAATTAAAGCAGCAAAGAGCCAACACTAAAAAAAGCATGACACGAATTAAGAATTATATTGAATCCGCAAGGAATGAGGGAAGTGTACTTCCACATGCTGAACTAAAATGTCGCTTAGCTATATTAGAGGCTTACTTCAAACAGATATTGACCACGCAATCGAGCATCGAGGCCTTAAATCCAGAAGATAATTGCCGATCAGATTTGGAGGAGCTTTACATCAATGCAAAGGTGGCTATTCAATCGCAGTTGGGAGACGAGTTCCACAATACATCAATATCTGATGGTAACATCACCATCCACCAATCAACATCGAAACTACCACCGTTACAATTACCTTCATTCAATGGTAAATATTCCGAATTCAAGAATTTTATAACGACATTTACCCAAATCATTGATCGAGAATCAACTTTATCTAATCTGGAAAAGTTTAATTATTTGCTGACTTGTCTGCATGGCCCATCGTTAGAAACGGTCAACGCGTTTCAAGTCACAAATGAAAATTATTCAAAGGCTTTAAATAGATTGAAGGATAGATATGACAATCCAACGCTTATTTTTATGGAAAACGTATCAGCCCTTTTCGATCTTCCTGGTACGTCCAAACCAGAAGGTGATAAATTGCGAAGTTTAATCGATACTGCGTCAACAATTTATAGTTCACTGCTATCATTGGGTTCGGAACGTGACATTGCACAAGCAATGTTGATTCATATTGTGATGCAAAAGTGTGACGAAGGGACGAGAAGAAAGTGGAAGGAATCGTTGGATTTCAAAAGGTTGCCATGTTGGAACGATTGTACTGCCGTTTTAGAGAGACATTGTCAATATCTTCAATCTCTGGATAAAACGTCTCCTTGTGTATCAGATGTGCACACCAATGATAAATTGTCAAAAATAAAAAAATCTCACAAAGATTATGCTTTTTCTTGCACTAAATCCTCTTGTATATTTTGTTCAAGTGCGAATCACAAGCTCAATGGCTGTGAACGGTTTAAATGTTTATCAACTGCACAACGTTTTGACACTGTAAAGCGATTCACACTGTGCATCAATTGTTTATCAAAAGGACATCAACGTTCTAACTGTCCATCAACTTATAGATGTAAAATTTGTTCAGATCAACATCACACCTTGTTACATCGTAGCAACACCTTCAATACCACAACACCTTTCAACTCAGTTCATCCTACTCCACAGTCATCAATGGTGTCAGCTGTAGCTACTACTTCTAGAGATGCTGTGACGCATACACATTTAGAGAAGTCATCGACAAGTAATGTCATCTTAGCTACAGCGCTAGTTCTAATACAGGATGCATCTGGATGCTACCAATTGGGTAGGGCGTTACTAGTTTCGTGTTCACAGGTGAACTTCATCACTAATGATTTCGCTCAAAAACTTCGCATACCCATGGCAAAGCATAATATTGAAATTAACAGCATCGGAAATTCATCGACAAGAATTACATCAAAGGTATCAACTACTATCAAATCTCGATTCACGGCTTTTCAATTTCCATTGACATTCTGTATAACATCACATATTGCGTATCAACCAGATTCTGAAATAAACATCTCAACTTGGAACGTACCACCAAATATTAACCTTGCTGACGAACAATTTTACAAATCAACCCGTATTGATTTACTGCTTGGCACTGAAAGCTTTTTTAGTGTCCTGTCAGTAGGCCAGATTAAACTTGGATTAGGATTACCAACGTTACAGAAAACTATTTTGGGCTGGATTGTTTCAGGTAGATATGATGTTTCACAATGCGTTAATAATTCAATTTGTCTCCTTTCACCAATTGACTCTGTCGAGGAAAAGTTAGAACGTTTATAGAAGCTAGAAGAAGTCTCGATCACTCCACATGCTTGGACTAGTGAACAACAAGTTTGTGATCATTTGTTTTCAGAAACAGTATGCAGAACAGATGCAGGTTGAGTTATGGTAAGGTTGCCATTTAAGGATAGTCCTCAGTGTTTAGGCAGTTCATACGGTAAAGCGTTGCGCAAATTTATTGCACAAGAAAATCGATTGTGACGGTCGCCTGAGCTCAAAACGCAATATGTTGCCTTTATGGAAGAATATCAAAACCTTGGTCACATGATTGAGGTAAAAGATCCAAATATCGATGAACCTCATTATTACATTCCGCATCATTGCGTATTGAAGCCATCCAGCACCTCGACGAAATTAAGAGTCGTATTCGACGCATCATGTCGAACCTCTTCTCAGAAATCTCTCAATGATATTTTGATGATTGAACCCACTCTGCAAACTGAATTGTTCATCCTCTTGTTACGTTTTCGCTTATTTCGATTCGCTCTTACTGCTGACATAGTGAAGATGTATAGGCAAATTCTGATTGATCCTGAAGATAGAAAATTTCAGTACATTCTTTGGAGAAGTTCACCATCTACCAATATTCGTACTTTCCAGCTCAACACAGTTACATATGGAACAGCTGCTGCACCATACCTTGCCATTCGTTGCCTATTGTATATAGCGCATCAATATGTGGATCAATTCAAGATTGCAGCTGAAGTAATCAAATCTTCGTTTTATGTTGATGACTTATTGCATGGTGCAGATTCTCTTTCTGAGTTACATCAAATAAGATACGAATTGGAAGAGCTTCTAAAACAGGGAGGTTTCGAATTAGCTAAATGGCACTCAAATCATCAAGCTTTTAGAGATGACACTACTATCAAAGATCTCAATATTGGTTCGGATGTTATTACCAGCACATTGGGACTGAAATGGGATCAAGATAAGGATGTATTTATTCCTTCATTTAATGTTAAACCAAATTCTATCAGCCGCATCACAAAAAGAACTATTTTATCAATTGCGTCGTCACTATTCGACACATTAGGACTATTAGCTCCAATAACCATATCAACTAAAATATTATTGCAAGAGCTATGGCTGCTTAAATTGGATTGGGACGAATCCATTCCTCAAAATTTACATTCAGCATGGGAAAGGCTTTGTCACGATTTGTCATCATTGAACACCATTACCATTCCAAGGTACTGTCTAAAACCAAAAGCAAAAACAATTCAGCTCCATGGGTTCTGCGATGCATCGATTCGCGCATATGGTTGCAGCATTTACATTCGCGTCACAGATGATTCCAACCTCATAGAGGTTCAACTATTCGTAGCCAAATCTAGAGTAGCTCCGCTAAAAAAACAATCGCTTCCAAAATTAGAACTTTGTGGAGCACTGCTACTTGCAAGACTTTACAACAAAATTAAATCGCTCTTCGAAAAGTTTGATACGGACGTCTATCTATGGTCTGATTCCCAAATCGTATTACATTGGCTCAAAATGCATTCGGCCACACTGTCTGCCTTCGTAGGTAATAGAGTTTCTGAGATTCAAGACCTCACCGCAGGTTCACATTGGAGATATGTCCACACAAATTGTAATCCAGCAGACATTGTGTCAAGAGGCAGCACTGTTAAGGATCTCACTAATTCTATTTGGTTTAAAGGACCTTCATTTCTTCGTCAAGAGATGTATAAGTGGCCTGCAAACAAGAACGACAACTTGGATTTTGAAGAAGTCAATAACGAAAAGAAACGAAAAGCAGCATTCAAGGTAACTGTATCAACCAATTATGTCATAGATATTATTGATAAGTATAGCTCACATACAACGGCTGTTCGTGTACTGGCTTGGTTGTTTCGTTGGTATCATCATTATAAGAAGAAGTTCAACCGCAATGTCTTTACAGAAGTCCTTACTCATGAAGAATTAGACTACGCCTTCCGATGCATCATTTCAAATATACAAGCTCAGTACTTTGCTGAAGATATTTATTTATTGAATCGAGGATCTATAACAAAAGGTTCATTAAAATACCTCAACCCATTTATTGAAGATACCGGTGGGTATAAGCTGATAAAGGTTGGTGCACGATTAGAATTGGCTGATCTTGCAAAAGAACGTAAACATCCTATCCTGCTGCCTAGCAAATCTGAATTCGTCATACGTTATGTTCGTTACTTGCATCGTAAGAATTATCATGCTGGACCTAAGGCACTAGTGGCACTCATTCGTTTAGAGTTTTGGATTATAAACGCCAGAGAGGTTGCTCGAAGAGTAGTCAGACAATGTGTTCACTGCGTGCATTATAAGCCAAAACTATTGCAACAGATGATGGGGAATTTACCGGTAGAACGTCTCACACCGTCACGGCCGTTTGCGCGCTGTGGTATAGATTTTTGTGGACCATTCAACACGTATTTACGTATAAGAGGGAAGCCTCCATACAAAACTTATGTCGCCATTTTTATTTGTATGGCAACAAAAGCAGTACACATCGAAGTTGTATCAAGTTTGTCAACAGACGCGTTCATTGCAGCATTAAAAAGAATGATTGGCAGGAGAGGCTTACCAAGTGATATATTTTGCGATAACGCAACCAATTTTGTTGGGGCTTCGAATCAATTGACAGAACTAAAGTCATTCTTGCTTAATAAAATAACCCAATCGTCTATCATTCAGTACTGCGCGTCTGAATTCATTAATTTTCACTTTATTCCGCCTAGGGCACCTCATTTTGGCGGTCTTTGGGAGGCTGCAGTTAAATCCGCAAAAGGGCACTTATATAGAAGTTTGGTGACTACTAAGTTAACATTTGAGGAGCTGTCAACAGTAACAACCGAGATAGAAGCTATTCTTAACTCTCGACCATTGACACCACTTTCGCCGGATCCTAGCGACTACGAAGCATTGACTCCTGCCCATTTTTTGATTGGGTGCTCTCTAAAGGCGTTACCGGAGCGGACGGAATTTGCTAAAACTAACATGCTCGACAAGTGGTCCCTCATCATCGGTTTGAAACAATCATTTTGGAAGCGGTGGTCTCATGAATACATAAATGAGCTACAGATGCGCACAAAATGGACCTGTGAAATACCAAATATCATGCCCAATGCAATGGTGTTAATTCATGAAGACAATGTGCCTCCACTACATTGGCAACTCGGAAGAGTTCTGAAGGTCATACCAGGCAAGGACGAGCATGTCAGAGTAGTTGACGTACGTACCTCAAAGGGCATCATTCGCAGACCTATCCACAAACTAGCCATTTTACCTATTGAAAGTTCTTTCAAGGAGGCCGGGATGTTGGGTAGCAATACAAAGTAACATAAAATATATAATGTTCATAAATAACGAAAGTTTTTGTATTATTGGCAACCCTGTTGCACAATGTAAGTTTTTAATAAAAACGATCAGTCTTGATCAAACTCGAATTAAAAAACAACGTGTTTTTTTGTCGTCTCTTTTTCGGTTTTAGTTTTACTAAGAAAAATTCTTCTTGGTACAATCATAATAATCTGAAACTCTCGTCCACAAGTGTCTACGATGCCCTTCGTCGGCATGGATCTACTCACCCTCGCTACATTGTCATAGCTAGCGTTGAACTATTATAAAAGGTCTTAATAAATTCTTTATTTTGTTTTATTGTACAAAAAAATCTCAATTTAAATTACAAATATATAATATGTGTGTAAATCAAAAAAAAAATATTATTTACAAGTATAATATAAAAAAAGCACAACAAAAAAAACATTGTACATATATATATTCGCAAAATTCTTTTGGTCTTTTCTCTGGCGGCACCTCCTAAACTTCTGTATGCAGCAAAGAGAACTACAATACCAACTTTGGAAAAAAGATTTATGACATTAAATCTAGGTCTGCGACGGAAACTCGAGTAGGGGTTCGTCGTAGCTGATGTCTCCAAACCTAAACACATTACGGTCTATTAGCAGACTTGCAGCGTAAACTCCTCATCGATCACAAGACCAACTCGAAAGTCCATTATACAATAGCGTTCATTACGTCAGAATCGGTATTTGCAGTAAACTCAAACTTATTTCAAAATTTATCAAAATTAACTATGCCTGTTTTAATTAATGCCTTCCTGTAGTATGGGGTTCTACTTTGGGTGGCTGTTTTTCCTTTTAAACACTTCTATATGGAAAATTTATGTATTAGATCAACAGACATACATAGAGATCTTAGGATTTAGTCAGTGAAAAAATATATCAGAGACAGAGCTCTAAAATTATTCACTAAAGTTGCTACGATACTTAATCCCGCCCTAACAATCCTCAAGTCCACTTCTGGATTTTCACGAATATATGCTGATTTAAGGTCCGTCATCAACTAAAAGACAAATAAATGATATTATTTCTTAGCCTAGTTTGGGGTAGAGATAAGCCCCCCAGCTATTATAAAGTAAAAGTGCGTAATAGCACTAACTCAAGAAGAAGAATCAAGAAGAATAAAAATAATGTTATTACAGAGTCAGAGGAGAAAGCTCTACTCCGTTCGCCAGCAAAAATTGCAAGAAATCTTGGGCAGAGTCTTGACACCTCACTCAAGATTCAATATTTGAACGAGCTGAACGCATCTGCTCAGAGACTAATAATATCAAACTGTGAGAACACTTCACGGGTATTTCACACCCAGGGTCCTGTGGACACAGGTGACTGCAATGGCGGTAGTACGATGAACTTAGGCGAGGGCTATGAAGAGACCAGGAAGAAGGTGGTATACTACACCGGGACTTAGAAAAGGCGTATTAAGCTCATAACCAGAGATGGCTTAGATTTGGAGACCACGAAGCAGAAAGAAAGTAAAGTTACTCTGACGATAGTAGGAGAAAGTGACAGACCAAGTACCAGCATAAGGTACAGATCCAAGTGGCTATCGCCTATGAGAAATATCCAGAAGTAAATCTCACTAGTGAGCAAATGAGGCTAATAAAATGAAATCTCCTAGAATAAATTAATAAACTTCCTGAACACAATAGTGTTTACGGCTTAGTAGCCATTATTAACAGAGACGGATGGCTTCATTAACATGCTGCAATGGTGAAATGAAAAACTGGCTGACATATTGTGGCTCAAAGTTTAAACTATTCCCGTATGCCACGGGAATATGCTGTGCTGCCACCGGACATTTTGCTGAACCGTCTGGAGAAACAAAATGGTGGCATATGCACGTCATTGTGGAAGATTCTCAGAACTGAAAAGATCAAGAATGGTAGGGAAACCGTCATAGTCGGTCGGGCCAAGAATTGGATAGGCGGTCAGGCAGGGAAGCTGTACTTGAACTTCACTCAAATTCATATACGAGTGAAGGCAAAGCCCAGTGGACATAAAAGACTGGCGGCATAAGGCCACCAACGGCAGATAATCCCAGCAAATTCAAGTCAAAGGTACCTCCATCCAAGAGACCGCATCCAAATGGAAGAACTAGTACCTCAAAAGCACATGCAGATAGGTTAAATGACACAGTACAGGTCACAAGGGATAGTCCTCGGACCAATGTCGGACACCACACCTCTAGGCAGTATGGCAGTACACCCAGTCATGGGATAAAATTGCCTAAGTGGATGTGAAATGGCAAGGGTCCACAAAAATGAAAATGATGAGTTGCCTGTTGGTTAATCTTCAACACTCCAAATCTGCTACAAAGGTTTTGACACATCGCCTCATATCTAAAATTATTGACCTAGCCCTTATCCGTGAGCGATATCAGAACCAGATAAAGGGACTGAAAGGTTGTAACTACCCAATTCTTTTGGTCATATAAAATTAGGGTTACATAATTCTGCGCGACCTTATATTATTTGATCAAACGAGGATGATACTAAACACGCGCAGCCAGCATAAAAAGCTGGTAAACAAACAAAAACAATTCTTTGTTGAAAAAAAACACACTTGGCGTAAACAAGTTCGTAACTGAAAATTCAATGTGTTTTTGCAATAAGCATGGAACGGACAAGTAAATATGCAAAAACAATTCGTTGATGTAAAAAAATGCACATTTTGTGTAAACAAGCTACATAGCGGGATTAAAAGCGTCGTCAATCGAATAAAAGGGAGCAACCCTTTTATTCGATCTACTTCGATTACTTTTTCACCAAGAAGTAACTGGGTACCTTAGCAAAAGAAACATAATCCAGGTAAGCACGTGCCATAAATATATATTTTTTTTGAGAAAAATTAAGTATGTTGTCTGTTATGCGAGAGACGCATACATACGCGTATAAAACCACACTCTATGAAAATTGTGCTCTAAAACAACTTGTGCTCCTATAAAAATCCATGCGCTGAGGAATCATATTAATAAACCATATTCCTGCGCTGTCAGATCAATCCACGTTAATTGAAAATTTCTGTGCTTACGTATAAAACCACTCTCTATGAAAATTGTATTCTAAAACAACTTGTGCTTCAATAAAATCCATGCACTGAGGAATCATACTAATAAAACCATATTCCTGCGCTAGCAGATCAATCCTCGAGAATACCAATTACTGTGCTTCGTATGAAATCCTAGTCGAAGGGAATTTTATACTGTGTTCATAAACCAACGTGTGCGCCGGGGAATAACTTTGCTCAGAACTCCTGTGCTGGCAGATCCATCCACGGGAATTCGAATTGATGTGCTGGTGTATAAAATCATGACCGAAGAGAATTTTATTCCGAATTTATAAGTCATAAATAGTTGGAATGAAATTAAATAAATTTGAATATCATAGGTTGATCATTGTAAACTCTATTAGTTTTATATAAACTTATTTTATCACTTTAGGTAGCTATAATCTCTGGTATAGGTAATAACAAAGAGCAAATTGAATTCAGAAAATAAATAATTTGAACTGTAATTAAATAAATTTGAATATCATATATTGATCATTGTAAACTGTATTTATTTTATATAAACTTATGTAGCTGTAATCTCTGGTGTAGATAATAATGAAGAACAAAATGAATCAAGAAAAAAATAAATAATTTGGACTGTAATTAAATAAACTTGAATATCATATTTTGATCATTGTAAACGCTAATTATTTTATATAGGTAAACTTATATATCTGTAATCTCTGGTATAGATAATAACGAAGAACAAAGTGAATCAAGAAAAATAAATAATTTGGACTGTAATTAAATAAATTTGAATATTATATATTGATCATTGTAAAATCTATTTACTTTATATAAACATATGTAGCTGTAATTTCTGATATAGATAATAACAAAGAGCGAATTGAATCAAGAAACAGATAACTTGAATTGTAACTAATTAATAGGTATTAAGGAAAACGTAATTATTGTAAAACTATCCAATGTAACTACGATCATTGACATAAGTAACAATAAAGAATAAATTGAATCGAAAATTAAAGTTGCTTGTAAATGCAACGGAGATTAGGCATATAATCAGAAATTGACGCAGTGAATCGGAGTCGAACTAAAAATACAAATTGTCTTTTAAGAACCTTGGACACGGCTGAACTATCCCAGCTATAGACAGCCCCATATAACGGGGTTCATTACGAAGTAAAACATTTTAAAATATAGAAATCCAAGACTTCCAAAAATTTTTTAAAACACTCGGTTTAAACTTCTAGCTGCAGGCGATTTTAATGCCAAGCACACATTCTGGGGTTTTAGCAGTTGTGAAAAGTGAAGATCCCGACTGGCCTTCTGATCGACAAAAAGTCCCAGACCTCATTGACTTTGGCCTAAGCAAAAATATTAAACTATCAACAATCATCGCATTTCTATCAGTTGAACTGTCATCAGACCACTATACTCATCAGAATAGAACTATCCAAAAGCAAAGTCTAACGAAATATATAAACTGGTTAAAATTTCGTATAAATGTTGCTTGCCATATATCACAACATGCTTCGTTAAAAGTGAATAATGAAATTGATGCTTGTGTTAACCAATTTTCTGAATTTATCTCAACGGCTGATGAAGTAGCTTCGATAAGAACTGAAAAAACAATCCAAAAAAATGGTGTGAAAAACAATAGAGGTATTATTACAACGGAAGAGGAAAGCTAGAAGACTATGGCAACAGCGTACATCCCAAAAACGTAAAGTTTTACTTGCTAAATGTACTAATGAACTCAAATATGCCTTAGACAATTTTCTATACAATTTGAAACCTAATGAACAAACTGACTATTCACTTTGGAAGGCAAGAAAGTACCTTAAACAGACTATCCAGCAAGAATCTTCTCTCAGACTAGAAAATGGTGACTGTGAGACTGTGAGAAAGGGGACATATTTGTAAAACACTTGAAAAATGTATTTACTCCAAATGATGCTTCAAATA